CCCCCTCGGTGGTCCCCATTTCCCTCTCTGAAAATATCCCCACTTTTCCACTGGTTTACCAGCTTCCCCCTCTTTTCTTCATAGGTTTTTCCCCTGTGTTCTTTTCATCATGCACCTCTCCCAGTGCCTGGTGCTGATGCAAGGCAAGACAGGACAAGATAAGGGAAGACAACTCCTTAAAAAAGCTTGGGACAGCTGCAGTGGAAAAGACAACACATTGCACGTGGGTCCAAAGTATGTGAGTTTGCAGGCTGATACTAGCACAGGTTGTTAGGCTGAGAAAAACAGAAAAAAAGTTCAGAATCAGGCTGATAAGACAGTTAGAAAAAAAGAAAGAAAATGTGATTCTAGGAGGTAGCGGGAAACACATCCTCACCAGTGCAATGTGCAAGGCCTCAACTGGATGGACTGGTCCAAGGCTGCAATATTGTAAAATACAAGGTAAATGAGTTGAGGCAGGGGAAAGCAGCAAAGTAACTGCCCAGTGCCTGTTGTGCAGCTCTGCTGGGCCCTGGCACGGCCGGGTTGGTGCGAGCCCCGGCATCGCCACACGGCACCGCGTCGTTCACCCTGCCAGGCCAGGCCGGGCTCCTGAGCGCTTCATCCAGGAGCATCTTCCACGATCTGCTTTCCTACAAAAGTTGCTACTCCACCATTCCAAGGCCAAAACACAGCCCTTGTTGGGTCCTACTGCTCAGTACTGGAGACACAGTCCGTGCCCTCTATCAATGCACTAATTTAGGGACTAATCCAGATCTTAGTTAATTTTGCTAAATTTTCTATCATTTTTAATAGGAATCATGTCAGATTTGCAAGACTTAATTCTGAAAGTACTTAATATGAGTAATAGAAGTAATATCACTAATATTTATTCAATTGCTCGTGCTTGCACGACAGAGCAGCTGAAGAAACTTTCTGTTCAAATTCTAGGCAAAATCTGACCAAGTTTTACAGTGACCAACACATCCCCAAGAGAGGCAAACATGCCCATGAAACAAGTTCTTAAAGAAATGCTCTGTTCTGCTGTGTGAGCTTGTCTCACCTTTTCCGTTCCTCAGGATTTTAGGTTTGCTCCACTACTTCAGCAAACCCACAAGTTTTGTACAGAGGTAGTATTTTTTCTTTTCTTTAGCATACTTCAAAAGTATAATGGACTTGAACAAAAGTCCCCAGACATCCACAGCTACTTCACATACACGGAGCAGTTTTGGTATACCTGTATTTTCATACTGCACAAGACTATGCCCAGTAGGAAAGGAATAACATAACACCTTTATAAGGAATAATATACCTTTTACGCAAGAAAGTATATGGAAGAGGAACAAAAGTTCCAATATCCCCATTGAGATCTGGAGTCATATTCTGTTCTCTGATTTTTTCTTTCCTCCTCCCCTCACCCCCTCTGCTATTTTTTTGTTATTTATAATGAAGTGAGAGCAACAGGATATAGTAGCTAGAAACAAAAGTTAAATTGTACAGCATTCATTTACAGACCTGCATTATAGGTTGTGAAGGGGACTGATAGAAAAGAGTTATAATTCAGTAAGCCTCACTTTGTTCATCCAAAAGGAAGGATTTTACCCCTATCTTAAAAGCCAAGCAAAAGCCCTGTAGCCATCCCTTCACTTCATCAAGACAGACACTGCATTTGCCAGCCACGTTAAGAAAGGATACAGCACATTCACTGCACTGACCCTGCACAGTGGACACAGGGGGCCCTTTTTCTGGACGTTTGTAAAAGCAGTGCCAAGATGAGCGAGTTCTGCCCTGCTAAACTCGCTGTTCTTGCAAGTTTAGTGAACTACACCTTGCAGGCGCCTTGGGTCCACTTTTCCTCTGCTTTTCCCAAAGTCAAGGCAAAGAAGCGTCAGGCTCTCCATGCAGGATCCTTTCAGGACTCCAAAAGGAATCCACAGCAGTTGCCCCAGTCCCTAAGGCATGGAAACACGCTTTTCCCACCTGGTGAGAGTTCCTCATTTGTTTCACGTGCTGCCRGAGAAACCCCAAGGAGGATTTGCAGCTGTCATGTGTAATACTGAATGACTCCACTTGACTCAGATGACAAATTGAGTCGGCCAAATTCAAAAGTATAAAACTTGCTCCTGAAAATACACTCTTCTTCTCTCCCRCTTTGTAGTCCTTCAGCATTTTATTTTGTTTGTTTGCAAATCTAGTACTATTTACATCATTATCCACTCAGGCTACAAAGCATGGCAGCCACTGGCCATCCTAAGACAGAATGACTACAGATGAAAAAGCATTTTTAAAGTCTCATTAAGGTTTCATCAATATCAACTTGTTTTCATAAAGCTTCAGTCTTTCAGAGAGAATTAAGCATTCAGTTTAAAAGCACACACTAAGGAAGATCCTTATAACTGTAAAGGTGTTCCAGAAAGTTGTATCTCAGAACTGCACAGTAGTCACTAATAACACAACATGAGGCAAAAAGGTTGAAGAACTTATTTGATACTATATTTAGTTTATATATTTATTTACATATAAAAATATTGTATTTATACATAAGCTTAAATGCACTCTGGAGAAGCCACAAATCTTTATTCTGGCACAACAGAGGCTAGTATTATTTTCCCAAAGCAATAATCTGCTTCAGCTTTTCATCTGTGCTCTGAGTTAACAGATGAAGGGCATAAACTATCTACATAATAATGCAGCAGATGTTCACACACATTCAGGATCAAGAAATTACGAAAGTCAAGGGGAAGAGCTGAAGTGAGCTAGACCAGTCTCACCTCCTTTTGATACCTAAGCAGAACTGAACAGAGCGGAGAAAAGCTCCCACAAAAATAGAAGCCTTTGAAAATCATGTAATTCTTGTAGGTAGGTTATGACTAACAAACAAACAAAGCAGTCTGAAGCCAATCCTTATACTGCTTTGTTCCACCTGGAGCTAGATTATTTTTAAATGATTTTTCTTTAATGTATAAAGAGCACTTATTAGCATCTATGCCACAAACAAGACATTCAACAAGTCTTTTCAATTTTTATGGAATGATTACTGGCAGGGGAGATAGTTGTTTATTGATAGACTGTTTAAAAGAAATACTTAGTTTCTGCGAATGAAATTTCATAGTTAACTTAAAAACAGCTGTAGTATATGGTCCTTTCTGACATGATATTGTAAAGTGTGAGATGTGCTAGATACGTATCCTTTGCTATTAAACACTTGCATTTTATTCATTTAATTAACATTTTCTTTTGGAAGAGGGGATGGAAAGAAGAAAAGGCAGCAGATGTATACTATTTGATTTGATAGATCCTATGTGGCTTTTTATGATGCTGTACAATAACAGAATCAAAATCCCAATTGCATCTCCGTCACCCTCAGGAAGAAAGCCAAACCAGCAATGTGTTTAATATCAAACCTAATAAATTAAGCTTTACACCTGTCCTAGGTTCCCAAAGTCAGTATGCAAAGGCTTCATCAAAATGTTTACACTCCCCATCCTCACAAAATGTACATGCCTGATTTTTTAAAAAATTTAAAGCCAAGTTGCACCCTGACATTGCAAGCTGATACAGGCACTGTACTTCTGTTCAATTTTGCACGCCACTTAGCATGCTAGGGCCTCAATCTTAATAACAAGCTACTGATAATACTGAAAGATGTTTAATAACCATGTTAGTGTAACATCAAGGAGGGGCTGCCTACCACTTGCTAAACTCCTTCCTTCAAGGGATCTTCCGCAGGAGGAGAATCCTCCTCCAGGGAATGTCCTGCAGATTAGGAGGCTAAGCCAGGAGCATGTTGTTATCCCCCTCTAAAGCAAAACACCCAAATCACTCTACCTGTGAAACAAAACACCCTGTTTCAGAGCCYTTTTCCAGGGTGCCACGCAGCGCTCCTTGCTCCCTGCCTTGGCAGGGAGGTGGCAGCTGGTGGCTGAGCAGACCCGGGTGTCCCGGCTCACACAAGCCCAGCAAGTGTCCCAGCCCCGACGGCCACCACGGAATGAACCCGGGCAGCTCCCTGACCATCTTCTCTGCAGTTCATCTTGCAGTGCAAAGGGGACGAACCGAAGGCTTTAGGAAAGGTCGTACAAGCAGGTGGTTTGGGATAAACCTGAGCTGGCGCTGGATATGCAGATGGAGAAGTCTGAAATACAGCAGGCAGCTCAGCAATTCCACTCATGCAACATGCATGATAACACATACCGCTGCTAGGAAAATAATTTCTGCAATATTTCACAGTCTGCAGCATGAAAAGCACTTGGAAATTTTAGGCTGCAAATGAGGACTGTCTGAACACACCTCTGTGCTGAAATATCCCCCCCTCTGTATCTCAGTGTCTCCCAAGTTAGGTCTACCTCGCTACCTTTCAGCCATTTCACTTGGCAAAACTCCATTTTCAATAACAAACCAAAGGAAAAACACGTTGGCTGGACGKGTCCTTCCCACCACACCTGAAGTCCTAAACTGCAGCTACGCAAACACAAACTTGCTCCGTTCCTCCCCGCACGGACAGCGACACCGACCCGCACAACCTACCGCTCTCGTGTAAACTCTAAGCTCTTCCCAATACTAATAAAAAGACTTTTAACAGCCTTGAGCAAGCCACTTTCCCTGTGGATCCTCCGACTGATGAAGAGGGGATGGACTTTCAGCGCAGCTTGCAAGCAGGTTAACTGATATTAAAGAATAAGCAGGTTAACTGATATTAGGGATAACTGATATTAGGGATAACTGATATTAGGGATAACTGATATTAGGGTTCTCCCTAGAGATCCTTTTCCAGGGGGTCCCCAGCAATGCCCCCCAGTCACACACCTACGCGGGGCTGCCCACGGCCGCTCGCCTCGGCTCCGGCACATCCAACCCACGGGCAACAACGAGGAAAAAAGTTCTCCTTCCGCGGCGCTGTGCGCGGACAGCCTGTTTTTCAGGGCTTGGACGGGAGAAAAAGACAAAATAACGACACCAAAGGGACCCCCCCCACACACATACACACACACACACACACACACGTACATGGCGTTACTAACCTGCAGCCACGCGACCTCCGCAGGGCTCGGGCGCCCGGCACAAGTTTCTCCCGCCGAGTCGCTCCGTTCCGTTCCGCGCCGAGCCTCGGGCCTCCCCCTGGTGCCGCCGCCAGCGGGACGGCGGTGGCCGCTCCCCCCGGCGCTGCGGGCGGCCCCCTGCTCGGCGGCCGCGGC